TTAGACTACCTGTAAAACAAAAAAAACAAGAGATGCATGTGGCCACTGTGTCAAACAACACGGGGCAATAAAACTTTGATGCCTTCAAAACAGCCAAGTTCTTGGACAATTGCTATTTGCTTCCTCTTACTGTTCTTTTTCCTTCAGAAATTCTCCTCCTAGCCCAGTTATCACTACTGCCTCAAGCATGTCCCTCCCTGCTATTACCAGCACATTTACACAGGCAAGGAACTTAACAGCTCTTCTTAAGTTATTCAGGTGCTAATTACAGCCACAAAAGAAAAGCAAAAGAGGGCTCAGGCAGTCAGAGAGCTCTGCAGGTGGCACCAGGCAACATCACACTTGCTAAAACACGTCCTTTTGCACAGAGGAGGAGAGAGGTCTATATTACGGCAGCTTGTGCCCTTCCCCCAGTGCTGACAAAAATCACATACCAAAGATAAGCTGGGGGGGGGGAGGATTGCAAAACCGCACACACACCAGGACGTTCTCTTGCTTCCAAGGCAAGACCAATCATTCCTCTAGGAATAGGGAAAGAGGAAAGGGTTTATCAAGCAATGCACAACTTAGCAAGTCAGTTTAACAAATACCAGTGGGGTTTGTGCACAGAGAAAACAAAACTCGGTGGGTTTAGTAGCTAAAAACACAGTGTAAACTACAGTCTGGTTACAGCAGTAAGCTTCCCACAGCAGTTTCAGGTGCCTTCCTTTGTAGACCAGCCCCAAAGTAGAAACTCCTCTCGACTGCTCCTGAGAGACGCAATTAATTGGAATTTTGGTGCTCAGGAAAGCTAGTCTCTCCCCTAAGTCCTGGCTCACCTGCCCGAGTACCTAGAGTGCTTATAACCCACCTCGCTCCCTGCTTTGCATGTTCATATCCATAAAAGAAACCTCCAAGCTCTTCCTCCATTCCGAGCTGTATCTTCCCTGCACCCCCCCCCATTCCCCCACCTGTTCACGTGCGCTGCTCCCCGGCACACGGCTCATCCCTCGGCCCCTTCCTTGAGCGATGATCCAGGTGCCTCAGGCTCTCAAATGTGGTGCCGGATCCAGGCACCGAGAGCATTCTCCGTGTTGGGGCTCAGCCCCAGCCCCCGGGGGACACATGGGGCCAGCCGGGGCCGGACAGGGGATTCCCGGGACCCCCCGAGTGCCCCGCTGCCCCTGGGGAGAGGCTGCACCGCTACCGCTGCCGCGGGCTGCGATTCGACTGCCCCGCGGCTGACATCGCGATGCTCTAATTTGTATTAATTGCAAAAAAAAAAAAAGTATTTTTATGTCATCTCCAGCAAGCACGACACTCCCATGTAGGGAAGCCTCCGGCTCGGCGCCTTGCCTACAAGCTGAGCGCATCGCGGCGGGCGCGGAATCCTCGCCGGGCAGGACTGCGGCCACGGTAACGCAGACCTACGGCCCCGCGCCTGTGCGCACAGACAGACGGACGGGCGGGCGGACTCTCCCCGCCACCCGTGGGCGCCCCGTCCCCGCACAGCCCCCTCCCGCCCCGCACTCACCGCGTAGCACAGCGCCGGCCTCTCGCTGAACACCGAGTCCTCCATGGGCGCGGACGGGCAGGGAAGGCGCCGCTTCCTCCACGTGGCGCGATGGCGGCGCCGGCCACTGGCCCCGCCGTCCGATGGCGGCAGGGCAACGCTGCACTCCCGCCCGGCAACTGCCGGCCCCCGACGTCCCTCCTCGCTACTCCTGCCCGCCCCCCGCCCCCGGCTGTCCCCTCCCCGCCGCGGGAGCCGGCAGCCCCTCGGCAGAGCGGGGCGGCAGCGGGAGGAGCGTGGTCCCGCGCCGCTGGAGGGGGAGCGGTTTCGGTTCTTCCGCGCCGGGCGGTGCCTCCCGGCGGACGGGGCCGCTCTGCCGCAGCACCTACGGCGTGACCTGCGGGGATCCCGCAGTGCCGAGGGGAGGAGAGGGTGGCCCCTTTCCCTGCTCTGGCTGCCCCGAGCGGTCCCCAAGATCCCGCCGGGAGAGGCGCCCCGCGGAGGCGCTGTCCCGAGCCCCCGACCGCTTCCTATGTGCTTTTCAGTTGCTCTCTATTTAAGCCCAGCCCCGGCGAGACGCCCTGACCCTCACTGCTGGAGAGACCCCGCGGAAACGACTGCTCCTCTGCAGAAAAGGCCCATCAAAAGAAACACGCTCTCCAAAAGCCCCAGATAACCACCCAGCAGGGCCCGCCCCTCCCCTCGTCCTCCTCACTGGCCACTCGTGGGGCTGTCCCGCCCCTCGTCCTCCTCATTGGGCACACCTGAGGCGTTCCCGCCCCTCGCCACCCTCACTGGGCACACCTGAGGCTGTCCCTTATGGGAGGGGACAGAATGGCTCTTGGCCCTCAGGCGGGCAAGTGACTTGGGGGCGGGGGTAGAGGCGGCACGAGCCGGGGCGGGGGCCGGGGCGAGCCGGGGGCGGGGCCGGGGCGAGCCGGGGGGCGGGGCCGGGGCGAGCCGGGGGGCGCGGAAACTGTGAACGGACGGCAATGATTCGTACACCCATCAAATCATTATTCATCGGAGCCCGATTCCCTCATCTCTGTCCTTGTTTTTCTTGGCTGCAAAACCCGATGATCCCCACTGGCTACTGTTTAGGGTGCTTTTCTTCCACTGCTCTTTTCTCCCCGCTGAAACCTCCTGAGATATTCAGAGATTAGTTGGAGGTGAGCCCCTCTGAGGTATTTCCTCTCGTGCCAGTGCTGTGGGATGAACAAGTAAAGAAAGCACGTCAAAAGTTCCTTCTACCCCCTTCTTTGCAAACACCCTCCCAGTTTGTCCTTGCCAGCTCCATCTCCCCAAGCACCTGCACCTGACACTTTGGCTCTGCTGGGAAAGGGACAGCAAGTGCAGAAAGTTCAGTGCTGTGCAGGGGCTCCCTAGGGAACAGCACTTTGGTGTTTTAGTCCATGGCCTCCTGCTGCCCTCCCTCCTGGAGACAGAGCATGACCCGTGCATTGCTCTCTTCCTTGTTTCTCCCACACTCACAGACCCAGGTCCTGCTCTTTTGGCCCCACTTTTCTTAGCAGACCCCGCATCATTTTCCAGGCTCCCCAGGAAACTTCTGCAGCTGACCCCTTGCTAAATGCAGAGCACAGGACAAAGGAAGGACAAATTTCTCAGCACCTACCACCTACAATTTTACTTCTCCACACCACGCTCCCATTCCCGCCGTCTGTGTAGGTGCCTGCACGAGTCTTCCTTGTCCCAGCCCTGCCAAACTGACACACGCACAGGTTTCAAGGCACTCCAGAGCTCAGAAATATGTTCATGCCTTGCCAGGCCACCCCAATCCTGTCCCACCCACCCGAGCTGAGCAGGTGATGCCAAGGTTCCCCTTCCTCCTGGCAATCACTGCCTCAGCACACCAAGGCCCATGCTGGGCAACGCTTGGGAAAACTTGGGAAAGGCACAAGTCAGTGATGCAGCTGCAGTGATGCAGGTAGGGAAAATCCCAGCCTGGATAAAATGCATTTGAAAACTCACCTGTGAATTCAATCAGCAGCTTTTCTTCTCGTTGCTCCCCAGATCTTCTCCCTAGTTGCTGGCTTTTGGAGAGGAGCGTGCTTTGGCACGGCACAGCCGTGCAAAGTTGTCAGCTTTCCTTACCTGGGCAGAGATGTCAGGATCTGGGAGTTCCTGGGGAATGCCCTCAGCTGGCAATTCCACCATCTAAAAGGAAACAAGACCAAGGAAATGGTGATTTCTTTGGCTTTCAAGTTATTTTCAGTTCTTAAAACAGAAGCAACACTTGCTTTGGAATTGTGTTGGGTGAACAATTGGCAGTGGGCACACGCCAGGGCAATAGTGCTGATTTCACTGATGCTCTCTGGGGCAGGAGCAGCTGAGCTCCTGAGTTCAGTTCCTGCCCAAGGTCTGACCCCAAAATGATCCCCTCCTCTCCACTGCTGATCACCTCCACATTTGCATTCACTGACCTGCAGAGAATCAAACTCCTTTTTAAGCCCCAAAACCTGCCCGGCCAGCCACAACTGATCACCTCTTGTTTTAAGACAAGATCTTCATTCTCTCTCCCAGAGATCACCTCAGATTTAACCATAAAATAGAATCCCCTGATTTAGAACAACTGAATCCTAGAAGCCCGTGCCTTCTCAAATGTATTCACTACCAGCAAAAGAAAGAATTGCAAGCAGCAAGAGGGACGTGGTAAACAACCCTCTGCCTTAAAAGCCAAGAGAAATAACCCCCCAAGCCCAAAGCAGAGCTGCGAGGTGCCCCCTAGCCCTGTCCGGACCAGAACAATTGCCCATGAGCTGCCCCCCGCCTCGCAGGCGCCGCCTGGCTGACACGGCCGGGAGCGGCACTGCAGCCGGGCCCCGGGCCCCACTAAGACCTCCAGTGCTCCCAGAGCGCCGATCGGCCGACCGAAGTCTCCGCTGGCCGCGGCAAAAGCGGAGCCTCGCCATCGCAGGCCGCGTGCAGTTTCCAGGAGGACAGGGAGGCTGCCGGCGGCGCAGCCCCGCCCCATCGCCGGGCGCTGCGGGACGGGGCGCGGGCGGCAGCGGCGCAGGACGGGAGGGCGGGGAAGGAGGGGAGCGGGACCGGGAGCGGGGGGATTGCAGCGGCAGCAGAACGGGACCGGGACCGGGAGCGGGACGGGGCGGGGCGTGGGCGGCAGCGGAGCGGGACGGGGCAGGGAAAAAGGGGGAAGGGAGCGGAGCAGAGTCCCCAGCGCCGACCTGTGCTTGCTCAGGGGTCCTCGTCCTCACGGCTGTGCCACGTCTCCGAATGGAGCCTGCCCGCGCCGGTGCTTGCGGCGGCCGCCGCCATGACTGCCGCCTTCGGCCTGCCCTACCGCTCACGTGCTGGCCGCCATCTTTGTTGTGGCTCTGCACGTTCCGGTGAGGGCGGTGTTATCTTGAGTGTTGGCCGTGACGACTTCCGGTGAGGGCGTCGCCATCTTGAGTGTGGGCCGTGACGACTTCCGGTGAGGGCGTCGCCATCTTGAGTGTTGGCCGTGACGACTTTCGGTGAGGGCGTCGCCATCTTGAGTGTGGGCCGTGATGACTTCCGGTGAGGGCGTCGCCATCTTGAGTGTGGGCCGTGACGACTTTCGGTGAGGGCGTCGCCATCTTGAGGGTGGGCCGTGACGACTTCCGGTATGGGCGTCGCCATCTTGAGTGTGGGCCGTGACGACTTCCGGCGAGGCGTCGCCATCTTGAGTGGGGCCGTGACGACTTCCGGTGAGGGCGTCGCCATCTTGAGTTTGGGCCGTGACGACTTCCGGTGAGGGCGTCGCCATCTTGAGTGTGGGCCGCAACGTCTTCCGGTGAGGGCGTCGCCATCTTGAGTGTGGGCCGGGACGACTTCCGGTGAGGGCGTCGCCATCTTGAGTGTGGGCCGCGAAGACTTCCGGTGAGGGCGTCGCCATCTTGAGTGTGGCCTCGAGCGTTTCCAATCACGGCGCCGCCATCTTGAGTGTGGCGTCCGAGGACTTATGCTGCCCCCCCTCCCCAGCCGCGCGCTCGCCGTAGGTCTTGGCGCTCAGTGCTGCCGTCTGCTGGGAAACCCCCGGAACTGCAGCTCGGCAGCACCGACACCGGCACCGCCCACCGATGAACCCAGCGGGGCTGCCTGGCCACGGAGCGCGGCTACGGGGGGGCTCGGTGGCCCGGCGCAGGGAGCAGTGGCCCGCCAGCGGGGGCCCGCCGCAGGGATCTGTGTCCCGCTGGCATTCCCGAGAAGCCGGCGGCACCGGGAGCTGCGGGCTCGGGCCACCCCAGGCTCCGCCCGCCCCTGCGGGCTCCCGGGGCGTCACTCACGGCGGGGGTGGGGGGGGGACAAAACGGACTGGAGGGAGGACGGGGGAGGGGGATATTCTGGAGGGGACAAAGGGACATTGCTGGGGAGGGAATGGACATTTCGGGGTAAAACGAGGCCAATCGCTGGTGGACAGGTAGGGAAAATCCCAGCCTGGATAAAATGCATTTGAAAACCCACCTGTGAATTCAATCAGCAGCTTTTCTTCCCGTTGCTCCCCAGATGTTCTCCCTAGTTGCTGGCTTTTGGAGAGGAGCGTGCTTTGGCACGGCACAGCCATGCAAAGTTGTCAGCTTTCCTTACCTGGGCAGAGATGTCAGGATCTGGGAGTCCCTGGGGAATGCCCTCAGCTGGCATTTTGGCTCCTGCAGACCCTCCCCGGCTGAGCCTCGGCAGGCTCTGATCCTGTGCTGGTCCTTGCACCCTCCTCCCTCCTCCCTCCCTCCAGCAGACTGAATTTAAGAAGGGCTGAATTTAAACTTCATTCACATTTTTAGTGCCTTCTATCTATCTCCTTAATGAACTCTATTTCCCCTCTTCTCACAAAGTGGAGCACAAAAAGTGCACAGGTGACAGACAGGGAGCTCTTGGCTTGATGGACAAGAGGCCATAAAACTGCAGCCTGGGCTAAAGCAGCTGGACTGAAAATACCTCGATTCACTGCAGAGTAGAGCAATATTCTTAGAGCCGTGTTTTGTTGTCTGGTGAATTAATACACATAGGGACCAAAAGTTAAGAGGCTGTTCTTTACTCCCACTGCAAACTGACCGAGGGAATTTATTCCTGCCATTCAAGAACACGAAGCAGCCTCCCCCACCAATCACGCCAAAGAAATGGGTGAAAAAGTGAGGATTAATTAGCTTCACTTTTACTCCCCGGCCCAGTATACACTTTCCCCGTGTAGACTAACTAAGAATTAGAGCAGAATTAGAACAATGCTTGGCAGGCAGGAGAGCACCAAAACCACATCTTTGGAGTCCATCTCTATCCTCCACAGCCGGACTCTCACACAGTGCTTACGCTTTAAGGAATCAGAATTTCTGATAAAGCCCCTTAAACCAGAGCTCAGATCAGACCAGATCCCACTCACCTCCTTTATTTCTCCAGGGACCTGAAAGAGCCAGGATAACCTTTTGGTGATGCCTACTGGAACTTCCAAGAGTCTGATTAAATGAGGCAGAAAACTAGATATATGTGACTGGTTTAGAGGTTAGAGACTACACCTCAGCAAGATCTCACACTATTCCCTTCCAACAAGCTCATTCATTTCCACCAACTAAAAGATGATAAAAATACAGGGTTCTGAGGAGGAACTCTAAGAGACCTTCTTTTTTTCACAGGCCAGTGCACAGATTATTTAGTAAAGGAACCAACTGACTAAAAGAAACAACTCCAGGAACCCAGCATCACGAAGCAAAACCGGCTTAAAACTTGTTCTGTGCATTTTATGACCAGCATTCCCGTTTCCCAAAGGAAATGATGGGTTGTATTGTTGGCCTTAGTCCCTTCAAGGTCCAAAAGCCCCCAGAGTCCCTGAACAGGAAACGGATGGATGGCTGTCAGGTCTGTTCTCAAGAAGCAAATTTGTGCGTAGTGGTTCTGTTTGTCTGGGGAGTTTTGTCATTGTTTCTCGGTCACAGCACCCACAGGAGATGAGGAGGATGACGCTTACTTCCTCGTGGCCAGGAGATCCAGTACTCCCTGAGTCAGGGGCTAAACTCCTCACAGACCCAGGACACCCGGGAGGTGCTGTCCCCCTAAAGCACTTACAGGCTGAACAAAACTGATTCGTGTGACCCACTGAGGGGGACCCGAAGGACAACGCAATAGCCCGAACTTCGAGCAGACTATTTACATAAAATGTGATGGCAACTTACCTTGCCAAACCCAGACAAATTCCTCAGTTGAGGCCGGTGATCAAATGGCAATATGACCGTGTCTTTCGGCACTCTGGTGCCTGAGGAATGCGCCCTGGAATCCTGAAACCAAAAGCAGCACAGTGCAGGGATTTCTAAATAAATACATGTCGAAGGAAAAGGAAGTAGTGACAAACAGCAGCTAATATTTATATTTGTGAAGGCTGCCTTTTGACATCGAAACTACACCTCCCACAGGCCTTTGGAACTATTCAGCTGCACCCACAGAAGAAGTCCACCTCAGCTAGGATTCTCTCAGCAAAGAAGTTGCTGCATCACTATTATGTTCAACAGGAATGTCCACATGTGAGTGCATTTATGTTTCGGTTGCGTGCACGTACATTTACAAACACACACGCAGCCTGAAAACCACCCCAATTTTATAAATCTTCCAATTAAGTGAATTGTTTTGAAAACACTCTCATAGATTACATATTGTTACATCACCTACCAAAAACCAAGAAAAAACAAGCTGGGAATTTGCAGCTCTGCATTGATTAACAGAACAGTACTGCATTTCATGTGCTGAATGTTCATCCCTAAATCTGATGTCCGAGTGTTCTGTAACAAATTGACACCACCTGACTTACGCACTTGTTACAGTCTGTATTTGCACAAAACAATTTGTTTCATCTGTTGCCCTGGCAGTAAAAGCAGATATTCCCTATTAGAGGAACAGCATGTACCAGACTGACAGTATTCCTGGCCTCTTTTGCCCTATTCCTATAGCCCACCGCCGTTGCTGTGCCTTTGGGACTCCTTCATATGACACACTGCTGGAAAGCGTGGACCACGTTGTGTGGAAATCTACACAAACAGTCCATTTGATAGCCACATTCACGCTCACTTACCAAAAAGGGGGCTTTGGAGGAGAAAAGATTATGGTTGTAGGCAGAGAGCTGGGCATTTCTATTGCTGTACTCTCCCAGAATGAAGCTTTAATCCGCATCTCTCCTGAACCTTTACCCCTTGGTTCATGCCTCTTGACATCAGCACTACAGGTACGTGAGAACTGGATTGGCTTTTCAGCCAGAAAAAAGTCTTTTAAATATTTGAAGGTTCTTAACATGCCCTCCTAAACCTTCCTCTTTGTTCTATACGCTAAAGAAACTTCAGTACTCTGTCTGAAGAATTAGAGAAAATGCAGGGAAAGAGAATTCGAGAAAACGCAGGGAAAGAGAATTCGAGAAAACGCAGGGAAAGAGAATTATTCTTATGCTCTCCTCTGGACCCTTTTCTTATGGTTTGAACGGTTCCTGATTTTAATTCCCCTCAAACTGTGAACATGAAAAACAAAAAAACCCCACACCACACACAAAAAAACCAAAACAAGCAAAAGACAAACAAAAGCAACCAGATAAACAAACAAAAAACCCCCAAAACTCAACCAACCAACCAAAACCACACAAAACTCAAAACAATAAAAAGAAACAAACCCCAAAAGTAAACCCAACTACGACAAAGCATGATTTCCTACTTAGTCCTACCTGAACCTTTGCTTATGTGCTTGAGAAATTCCAACTGCAATGTATACATCCGTCTGAACCACAGCTTTGAGTTTTAGACTGTTTCTTTCATTTTTCATGCCCTTTTTTTTTTTTTTTTTTTTTTGTGGTTACAAACCTGCCTTCCAGTGGGCTCTGCTCTTCTCAGCTGCATGCTGCTGTCAAGAATAACAGGCATACCTTTTGCTCAGTCAGTAGCACCACCAACAAAGACATAGGCCCCTGGAGAGTCTCCCTGGAAAAACCTGGCTAATTCCAGTTCAGTAGCAGATCGCTGAAAAGGGTGCTCTGTGAGTGGAGTTTCTGGCCAGGTTTGCATAAATTCTGCAACAGATTTTCAAGACACTTGTGAGAATGAAAAACAAATCAGATTTACACCAAGGACTTACTAAATTCAAAATAACATAAAGGGAGGGAGGCAAGTACCAGTGCAAAATGAATAGAGCAAAGATATTCCACATATATGGTCGTGTATCTGGCTGATGGGTGAAGCTTTTAAACTTGGACAACCTTGGGACAGAAGGGGTCATTTCTGAGGGTATATTTATTTAGGAGAAAAGACTGCTTCTGTGGCTTCAGATCTCATGATGTCCTTTGTGTTATTCTTGCTGAGAAACGGGATTAGATAGTAAAAAACTGCCCCATTTCATTTTCACTGGGTTCATCCTTCACTGCTGCTAGTTACAAAGATGTTCATATCTACACCACCTGATTCCTAGTGCGCAAACAGCGCCAGCATTTCCGGAGAAAACTTTCACACCTTACGTGGGACTACAGAGTTAGAGAAAGTTACTGAAAGAATAGACATTTCACAGGTCTACCTTTGTCTAAAGAGGACGTCCAGCTGTGGAAAACTGCGTTCAGCACACACAGCCTGCCACTGATCAGCAACCAAACAAGACCAGAGCAAGATCTTCTCTCCTAAGTGGCTTGTGTTACCT